CTTTATTTTTTTGTTTCAAACAATAATACAGTCAAACATATCTTTCAGTCACATTTTCAGTTTTTCCAGTTGTATCAATACAATCCTTAATAGGTTTCAAGTATTAGTCAACCGGTATCAGAGTACCACTCCAGGGCTAAAAAAAGAAAAAGAAAAAAAGAAAGTGTAATAAAGATTGCCTACCTTAAGAAAATAGACCTTTGGCTTTATATAAAACACTTACATATAATGACAGTACAAGAAAACATTTAAAGATTTGAAATTATAAAAATGAAAACCAAACTACAAACTAGCAGGATTATGACTTTAATCGTCATATTTATTAGGGTATTTGGTAGTGTGCTGTTTTTAAAGGTTTAATTCTACAATTTGACAGAACTGTCTGAGTGTTTGTTATTTAAGACTCAAAACCTGCGTGAGTTCTGAAACGTTGTGCAGCATGCCATGCAGTGATGACGGGCTTATCACAAGAGCAGAGATATCCACTCATCAATCAGAACACAAGTACACAGTGAAGTGGTGATGGAGCGAACAGAGCTTGGCTGCTCCGTTCCTGTTATTTTGACTGCTTTCATGCCATGTAGGAACATGTGAGTTGCTGTCAGGCCAGAGGACCTGATGTCAGTGACATATCAATAGCTCAGTTATATATTGTGTTACAAAGTAGATGCATTAAGTAATATATCTATATATATATATATATATTAGGGATGCCAGCGATTATTCGATTTTTCGAATATTTGTTACAGTCTCCATAATCGAAAATTATTTTTTAAATTCGATTTTATTTATATATATTTTTATTATTATTTATGTTTTTCTTTTTTTTCCTGGCTTAGTTTCAACCAAAATATAGACTAATGCTAATAATAGTAATAGTATTAATAATTCTAAATGGCCATTAGTCACACCACCAGTTTGTTTTACTGTAAACTTGGAGGAAGCCAGCAGCACACCGACCCCCCCCCTCCCTCTCCGTCACACGCGATTGATTTATTGGCAAATTATTTCTACCCGTTGAAACTTTTGCTATGGATTACTTAAAAAAAAACGAACACATAAAAGCCTAGTTTTTGTCTAGCTCAATTTCGCTTTAGCCAATGAGGTGTCCATTGTCCAAGGATAAAAGTGTATCCTAAAGGCAATGATTGAAAATATGAAGAGCCTTAATCTTTTGTTTAGAATTGTTGAATTACCAGCTGAATCAGTTGTGATTTTTTCTCCAAAATTGTAAAATGGTCATGCTTATATGTGCTTAGCAACAATCTAGGAATAACTTTTCTTCCAGGCTTTTTCTGACAGGTCTTAAGACTTTTCAGTATCTAATCCCTATTGAGTAGAGTATATCCTGTACAATCTTATGTCAGTAATGATGTTCTATTTGTGATCTCTCCTTTATTATAGACAAGTCATCAGTAGCAGGCTCCGAGGAGGCCGAGCCGCAGTCCCCTCCCACAAAGCCAAGGGAGACGCGGCAGAAATCTGTTCAAGACGCTCCTCCCAAGAAGGGCCGCCGGTCGCGCCGCTGTGGTCAATGCTCGGGCTGCCAAGTTCCAGAGGATTGTGGTGTCTGTACCAACTGTCTCGACAAGCCTAAATTTGGAGGGCGAAACATCAAAAAGCAGTGCTGCAAGTGAGTCATAGATCATGATCTGTTTGTCACAATAGATTATCACAATGTTTCACCAAGTTTTCATAACCAATTGATTTATTACATTACATTTTTTTTTATATAATTGCATTTTAAAGAAAATAAAAGTTACATGTTGTCACTCTATTCAGGATGAGGAAGTGTCAGAACTTGCAGTGGATGCCCTCGAAGATGTTTCTCCAGAAGCAAGGCAAAGGCAAGAAAGACAAGAAAAAGAACAAATTGTCTGAGAAGAAGGAGGCTCTCAATCCGGTGAAGGGTCCGATCTCAGAGTCAGGCCCTAAGCCCCCGCCTGCACCACCAAAGGAGGAACCTCCCCGCAAAAAGAGTGACACTCCCCCACTCAAGCTGGCAGAGGAGAAGTCGAGACAGCAGTCGTTGTCAAAGCAGTCGTCTCCAGCCCTCGCATCTTCCCCCGCCCCCCTCGACCCCCCCCAGGCGCTTAGCACAGTCCCAGCCCAGTCCCAGTCTCCTGCCCCGACACCAGACTCCAAACCGCCCTCAGTCACGAGCAGCGTCTCCACCAAGAAGGGAAACAAACCACAGCAGTCTGTCCCGACCTCTTCCTCCTCGTCATCGTCATCCTCCTCTTCCACTTCATCGTCTTCTTCATCCTCATCATCTTCTTCCTCGTCATCTTCAGCCCAGAATTCCCCCTCACAGTCGACGCAATCTCATCAACAACTACAACAACTACAGCAACAACAACAGCAACAACAACAACAACAACAACGGCCTATCACCAGTCAGGCACCTTCAAAAAAAGAGGCTTCACCCAAGATTCCTCTGAGCGAGCTCAAGAAGAAGCCTCAGCAGCAATCATCACAACAGCAGAGCTCAACTACAACCATGTCAGATACAGGTGGATAACATGTGCACCCTTATGTCCTATAGTAAAGGAAAAATAAATATATAGTTTATACTTTACTGTATTCTTACATGTATGTCCTGTTTCTTTTGCATAGTTGAATCAAAGCCGTTGAAGAAGCCAACTTCTCGACCTATTCCTCCATCACCTAAACAGAGACCAAAAGACAAGGTAAACAGTAGTCACTTGTATTTTATATTTTTTTCCTTTTCACATATGTGGAATGCTCACCTATAATTTGTGATATTCACCCTCCTCTCTCACTCTCCTCTTGTCTAATAACACGAATAGCCGCTGACCACTAAACCCACCAGCAGCAGTACTTTAAACTGGCTAAGCACTCCCTCGACTAGGGGCCAGGCGAAGTCCAGAGCGCCCTGCGACGGAGTGCATCGTATCAGAGTGGATTTCAAGAGGGACCATGATGTGGAGAAGGTGTGGGAGGCTGGCGGCCTCAGCCTGCTCAGCTCTGTGCCTGTCACACCCCGGGTGCTCTGCTTCTTATGTGCAAGCAGCGGGAATGTT